CCATGCTTGCCTTTTGCAGCAAGTTTTTAGCAGCCCCCCCCCCCCTCCTCCCCTTCTCTCTCTGTAAAAATTTTCCTCTCTAGCCATATTTTAACGATTTACAAGATTTTTCTTGTAAATTAGCAATAGCCTCCAAAAAGTACCACATCAGAGTGTACTTGCCCTTAACTGTTTACTGAATAAAATGTGAGCGGAGTAATTACTTTGAATTTCAAAGTTTCCACTTCTTTTATATGGTGCTTTCCGCGACAAAAAATTGAAAAAAAAAAATTAAATTTTCAAATTTGAAAGAAATTAAATTTTTCTTCCTCAACTCATTCATCTTGCCTATTTGCGAAAACACAATTCCACCGAGAAATAAGTCCTGGCTAATAAATGCAATAAAATGTGTACGGTTACGTTCTTGTATCGCAAATCCATCTTGATTCGGAAATCCATCCTCAAAACTGGTAAAAAAGCTCCCAACTAGTGTAGAAATCAAGATAAAGACACAGTTGTATCCTTAAGAAAAGTAGAATAAGAAAATTGGGACTAGGTGCCATGCATAAGACATTTTTCACGATGCAGTCTCTGTGTTTCATCCCTTAGCTGTAAACACAGACCACGCTGTGCATGCGGGTAAGAGTGGGAATCGTCAGTACAGCCTCTTACCTGCCATGTATTGAAAGGACATGTAACTAATTTGCAAGAAGGATAAGTGAAAGAAAAAGAGGAGGAGAGAAAGTGTAACGGGATGAAAGTAATGAAAGTAAAACAAAAAAGGCTTACTGTTTCTTCGGTTTTTCGGCACTGGTCCCATCAAGACATCCCACAACTGTTTTGAGTTCGAAGTCCACACCACACGGCTTTCCGGTATCGCCCTGAGCTGGCTGAAACGAAACAAACACTAAAGTGAAATTTCGTTCAAAAATCAAAATCCCCGTATTTTCAGAAAACTTAGAATTATACGAGTAATAAACTATCGAAAATACATTGCTATGGCATTTTCGGCTGCAGAAAAAGCAAATAAATAAAAGTGACCATCCTGCCTCTTCCTTACTTGCCTTGCATGCTAAGTCGAATGTTTCCTCACAAAAAATTATTGAAAAAGCTTCCTAATCTTCTGGTATCATTGTTATTCGGCAAAAAAAAAATTTTTTTAAATTTTTCTTTCCCAAAAATTTTTTCAGAAAAGATTTAACACTGGATAGCCCTAATGACAAGCTATCAAGTAATATTTTTAACTAATATCACCGCTAATCTCCCCAAAAAAAAAAGTTCTCCTTACCTCCCTCTCCTAATCTGCTCCCCCGTTCGAAGACGATTTGACAAAAAACACGAAAATGCAACTTCTTTTGGCATTATTCCTGTGCCTAATCAACTTAATGAAAACGACGAGTGGAGAATAGAAATTTTTGCGGTAAAATGCATGCTAAAAGATATCGAAAAGTGTGCCCGGATTTCGCGCAAAAGCAAAATCAAACCTGCAACGTGACGCTGGAGGCTGAGTGCGCCGGAATTTGAAACCAAAACGGATATGCATTCGCACCTAACTTCTTTTGC